TGACATTTCATCTCTGCCTCGATGACTTTCCACTGCTGTCTTACAGTCGGACATGGCTGCAGAAAGGGTCGTAAAGACAGAGGAAGGAGAGAAGCTGGCCAAGGTAATGTATAATAGCCTCGTGTGATTATATTTTCCACAACAGCACTTGCTCTTCTAATGCTTTTCCATTTTAGGAATATGGTGTACCATTTATGGAGACCAGTGCGAAAACAGGAGTCAATGTGGAGCTGGCCTTTCTTGCTATAGCAAAGTAAGTTTTTTTTTTTGTGAAAATATTTTATTGGCATTTTGGGAGTCATCACAATACATTACAAAAAACAAACAATGACATGAAATGCTCCTATATAACCATAACCCACCGCCCCACCCAACAGCTCCCTTTTAACCCTTTGGGCTCTTGACAAACACAAGAAATAATATAAACAGAAAACAACTAACAACTAACAACAGCAATAGAAAGTAAGGTATATTACAAAAAAGATAAATAAATTAAAAGTAAATAAAAAGAAAAAAGAAAATGACAACAAAATGTAGTGTGTGCATGTATGAGTCTTTGCGGTGCAAAAGTCTTTTTAAGTCTGTACACTACCTGCAGCCCAGCACAATCCTGACAGTCTAAGTTAGCAACAAGCTAATTGACTCTGGTTAGAGATAGGGCCTTTAATTCCTATTTTGACAAATCTTAATATTAAATCATAGCATGATATTTTAGACAACAGTATAGTAGCAGTTTGTTTTAACATGACAATGCCATCGTGCACAAAGCCAGGTCCATAAAGAAATGTGTTGAGTGTGGTGTGGAAAAACTTGACTGGCCTTTACAAAGCCCTGACCTCCACCCCATCCAACGACTTTGGGACAAACTGGAGCCAGACTTTATCACCCAATATCAGTGGCTGACCTCACTGATCCGCTTGTGATTTGCTCCCATCCAGCTTATTGTGGCTGTGGGAGCAAATCCCTGCACCCAGGTTCCAAAACAGGTTTTTATGGAAAGCCTTCTCAAAAGAGTGGAGGCTATTAAAGCAGCATATTAATGCTCAGAGATTATTTGTGGGATGTCTGGGTGTCCTCATATTTTTGAGTGTGTTTCATGTTGTAATTCTACAGAATTACTGAATGAACATATACAAAAAAAACTATTTTTATTTACTAAAAGTATTTTCGAGTATTTCAAGTCACCCCTCCCACAACACCATGAACGAAGAGTTTCTTATGTAAATGTGGGTGGTTAATAGAACAGACAAGAGGGGAGAAATCCCTGAAAGAAGCACATGTCTATTCTTAGAGACATGATTGGTTGATCAGTCATATCTTTATTTTGAGTTCAAAATCTAGGTCTCATAACAGTTTTCTTCATGTTTCAGTTACAAGATGCTGGAAAGAAGCGACAGGTGGAAAGTATATAAGAATAAGAATCCATTTACAGAGAAAAGAGAGCGAAAAAACCACAACGAATACACTTGGGGATAATACAGAGTAGTTATTAGTGCTTTTCTTATTTCCAGAGTCGTCTACAAGTGATCTCCAGAACAAATATTCTACGCCTCAAAAGCTGCGTCTCCTTTTAAAAGAAAAGGTTCTCTACAGTGAACTAATCAGTTTACCCTTCTCATTTTTCTGCTTGTAATAGAAAGGTCAAAACAAACCAAAATGAATCGAATTTCAATTTAGCTTGGGTCATGCTTCTGGAGTAATAAGAACTGAGGTTTGTATTTTCGTTGTATTTGAATACTGCAACCGTCTCGCAGCACAGTTTTCTCTAGTTTTCTCCTCTGGGTTGTGTATCTTTATACTTTTCTCTAACGTAGCATTGATGCTCACAAGCCTCCCTCTGACTCCTGGAACTAATGCACCCTGATGCTTTTTCAGCCAATTTGATGTTTGTTCCTGTTGACTTGTTATAATGGGATTGTGCATGTTTGAGGCTCCATGTAAATCTCAGACATTAACTGAGTAATTTTTTTTTTTTTTTTTGACGGACTTCCTTGTGAACACACCTTTCTTATTGAATGGCAGGAAATAATACGAAAGGGATTGTTACTTTGGCACAGCAGAGCTGTGGAAGAAAATAATATAAGTGATTTGCTATTTTCATGTGATGGGTATTGTAAATGCGAGTTAGATTAGATGATTCATTCATCAGAGGCATTTTGATCAGCACAAAGGGATGTTTTTCTCCCTCACACACTTGCTTGTTTTATTTCTCTTCCCTTCTCATTTTCTTTATTTGCTCACCCTATCTGTGCTCCATCCCACACATCCACCTCCTCTGTACCTAACTTCCACTCTCTCTCTCTATTCTCTCTCTTCTCTCTTTGTCAGGGAGCTGAAGCACAGAGTGACACAGCAGCCGAATGAGCCCAAGTTCCAGATACATGACTACATCGAGTCCCAGAAGCACAAGTCTGGCTGCTGTAGCCTGGTGTAGCTGATGCTGATCACCAGGCAGAGAGACACACACATAGAGAAAGAGAAAGAGAGGGAGGGAGGGGAGTGGGAACGAGGTAAAAATGTCTGCTCTCTTACAAAAAGCCAATCCCAGCACCAAACCTGAGAAGTGGTCGCCCCTTGACTTCTCCACTGAGCTTTTAGCTGAATGGAAGTGAATCTGGATTGGTTGCCATCCCTTTTATGAAATGTGAATTTAAATCTCTTTTATGTCATGCGTAGAAATGTTTGTGGTCTTTGTGGTGACAGTTGTATCAAACTACAAGTCAGGAGTTACAATCTGAAATGCTATATCCATCTGCAGGGACAAAAAGAAAACAGATTTATCATTCTGCTCTTGATAATCGGCAGTTTTATACGAACAATCAATACGACTGTTGATGTGGATATAACATTTTGCCATGCAGCTCTTAGTTTGTTTCATCCCAGTTTTACCAGGCTGTGAACTGAATCCCTTTTGGCCTTACAGTCTTCATCGTTATCCTTTGATAATCTAGTGTGTTTGAGAAGTGGACTTCAGTCTCACAGTCAGATTGTAGCTAAAATGATCCCGTCTGTTCACATCTGTACTGCTGTTAGATAGAATAAAGCCAACGTTTTGAGGGTGCTCGCCCACTGTGTGTCTGTCTGTACATTCAATTCAGGGCCAGTGAAACTTCATTCAAAGTACTGTACATGTAACTGTGCTGGAGGATCACCCCACCAGGCTACATACAAAGAGATTATTTTCATTATTTTCATGTCTTCAGTTCAGAGTTTTCTCAGCATGCAGTTTGCCTTTTTGCCATTCACACACAGAGATGCAGACAGCACTCCCAAACATTCTTGTGTCTCCTTTAACGATGGTTGTTGTTGTCTAGGCTGTACTGAAGCTATATTTGTTCACGCACCGCATCGTGTAACTCGTTTCTTTGTACAATGTTCATTATGAATGTTTGCTTGTCGAATTTGCTTGATGTCACATTTGTCCCTCTTCTGAGGCGTCACAGTGATCACAAAGTGCCATGAAAAAGTGCTTTGTTATCATATTATATATATATAAAAGTATATTTTGTAATGTATGTGGTGTTATTTTATTGAAGTCAGTCTCATCCGTGTGTCTTTGTGCGTGTTTGCGGAGAGGATGAGTGGGAGCAGTGGGATGTGCTGAGGTGAATAAGCCACTGTGTGGCAGCAGTTGCCCTGTTTGTTCTCTGGTACGTGGCACGGGAAAAAAGTGTTTTATCAATTAGACAGGTTGTAACACACAATACACGTATTTTGGAGTCTATTTTATTCCACTGTATAGGTTCACTGTTTTTTTAAGGGTTGTTCAACATCTGTACCATGAAGTTTGTGTTGCTACTGTGGGTGCAGTGGGTTTGTATTAATGTGCTTGGTGAGGACAGTGGGCATTTTACGGAGCATTCATGATTCACTGTACTGGGCTGTACACCTGAATTCAGCTTGCCTCCTCTCCCACTCACATCTATGAGTCACACTGCAGACACATTAAGGTGCCTGTACATTCTCCATCCCTTACTGTGAAAAAATATTCAATTCATTATTTGGATAACTTCCCATTAACAGCTAAACTGCCTGCTATATCTGTCAAACACACAGTAGCTATCAGCACTGATTCTCCAGTAGCTTTAAATTTCCAGGTCAGAGAGTGTTGAGATATCCTGTCACTGTCCTCTTATCAGGTCTGGAAGCAATCTCAGCTGAAAAGTCAAATCCTGCCCAAAGTTGTGGTTCTGCAGCTTCCTGCCAGAGCACGCTCTGTTTTCACAGTCGTGTCACTTATGTCTCTGAATGGCCAGAAAAGGCTCTGTGTCAACTCTCATCAAAAGATTGTGGACTTTAAAACTGATACTGATCGTTATTACTATTATTATCATTATTATTCAATTTATCCATAGTTGGGGTTCACAAAATGCCTAATTTGTGCTTGATCATTACAATTTATTCTTGTCTGAAGACTGGCATTTCAAAAGGGTCATAACTAAGTTATGTGACTGTTAGCACTGGGGCAAAACTGGCAGCCTGAACTGAAACTCTCAGTATAACAGCCGTCTATACATTTAGTTCAGTTCTGCTTTTATTTGCAGACTAAACACCACTGGAAAAATGAATACAGATCAAATTCTTTTGAGTGTGATAAGGTCAGAACATAATCACTGTGGAATATCAGACTCATTGTAATGGATACAGTTATACACACACATGAATGGATGGATACTTTATTCTACCTAGGGGGGAAATTAAAGAGTTTATAGAGAATAAGAACACTAAACTAAATGAAAATGGGTACAAAAAATGGGCGAAAGTGTTGCATCAAAAAGAGTGGTTCGCAGTACTGGGCACAAATACTGTATGTGCCCAATATGTAAAAAAAAAAAAAAAAAAAAAAAAAAAAAGGGCTGCTCACAGAGGAGAAAGAATGCAAAAAGTTTGATAAAACTAATGGCAAAAACAGTTTGAGAAAACTCTAAGATCCTGTATTTTACTAGACTGTCTTGGTTTAGTGTTTACTCATCCCACACTCGTCCCATATCTGCATGAACAGTCGGCTGGGCTGTTCCTTGAACGCACCTCCTTCTTCCTGAGTGGCTTTTCTACTTTCGTCGCCACACTGAAAGGGAGCGACTGTTGAGTGAGTTTAACCAGCCTCAGATCAGTCCTCCAGGTCAGGACCCTCTCTTCACGGAGACACAGCCTGATAGCGAGGGCTCCCATTGAGGATTACAGCAGGTGTGAAGATCAAATCAGACATTCAGTTGTTTGTGAAAGTGGACTGGAGAGTGGGGCAAGCACCGGCACCGTTTCCCACGGACTAATCTGCCTTAGAGGGCGGGGGTTGGGTGTGTGTGTGTGTGTGTGTATGTGTGTGTGTTTTTTTTTTTTTAAGGGGTACCACTCATTCTCACACACCCCTCCTCAGCAGCATCCTGAGCAGGTCTTCTAGTCATTTCCACTGTGAACGAGCAACAGGTTGAGCAGAAGCAGCAGCAGCAGCAGTGTGAAGGCGACTGAAGCCTACCATGCCGAGCAAAAGCCAGTATCTGCGCCCCCGGCTGTGCACGCTGGAGAAGGGGGACAACGGCTACGGCTTCCACCTCCACGGGGAGAAAGGTAAAACGGGGCAGTTTATCCGGTTAGTGGAGTCCGACAGCCCGGCAGAAACCTCGGGGCTCCGCGCCGGGGACCGACTGGTGTTCGTGAACGGGGACGACGTGGAGAACGAGAGCCACCAGCAGGTCGTGTCCCGGATACGAGCCACCGTGGGCCGGCTGGAGCTCATAGTGGTGGACCCGGACACGGAGCAGCTGCTGAAGAAACACAACATGAAGTGTCTGAAGGAGTATGTCACCGACGGCGTCCCGTTACCCTTCGACGAGGAGGAAGAGGAAGAGGAGGAGGAGAAGGTGGTCGTGGTGGAGGAGGTCGGGGAGGTAGACGGGACAGAAAACGGGGTCGAGCGGCATGCCAAGCAGGACGAGGTGGAGGAGGAGGCGGAGGAGGAGGTGGAGAAGGGGGTGGTGGTGGAGCAGCGGCTGCGGCAGCAGGAGATGACACCCAGGGAGTCCACGCCGGTCCCGGAGAGTAACGGAGAAATCCACGAGCACGTCGACAAGAAGCTGAGCATCAGCTCAGAGAAGGTGAGAGTTCAAATAAGTGCAGAGAAAAGTTTCTGCATCATGTCTCCTCTCATTTCCTCCTGCCCCGCACTTTTCTTTACAACAAGTCATTTCACTACAAACACTCACATGAGAAGTGCACCGCTGAATGCACTACTTAGGACAGAGAATGGGTGCTCTGTGTCATGGTCAACACTGGAAGCTTCACCCACATGCCCCTTGCTGCAGATGCTGCCAGGCTGGGGGCAGGGTCAGCTGGCTGGACATTTGCTGTGGGTGGAGGACAATTAGAAAAAACCTGGTTCAGCCTGGTTCATGAAAACAGGGACCAAACTAGACTGTGACCCCTCTGTCCTGAACCTCAAACTGTTCCTCGACTGTCCTCTCAAGTAACTTATTTAGTTTGATATTGTTTGTCTGCAGCTGTTTTCCTGTGTCTCAAAGAGCAACCACTTAAAAATGTGAGACCGTTCAGTCTTTTGTTATTACAGTGACGCCACAAGGTTAGGCATTAAGTTGGCAACAATGACAGGCTGCACAAAAGACAGGGAAAACACCCAGAGAACACATGGTGTTGTGTCTTTGCGTTGTGTACTGTAGAAAAAGACCATAACAAAATATGTGACATTGTGAAATACTCCGCAACAAACAACAGGAAATAATTTAGTGTAATTTTTTGAAAATCTCCCCTAAACGAATCCCACAGTAGGATTTTTTTTTTTTTTTTTCAACCTTTGATCTTTGTCTGTAAAACATTATGGGCACAGTCTGACTCCGCAGTGGCCGCTGGTTGCTGTGTCTGCCCTGCTGTCAGTCTGTGCGGCTGTGAACTCAGGACATGGGTTCATTAGAAAGCACTAGAGGAGAAGGGGGTCTCTCCAGTCGGGAACATCTGTGCCCCTCGCTGCTGCATCCTGGATGTTTACCCCTGAGGCTGTTTCTGTCCGTGCCTGACTCTCCTCCTCGGTACATTACTGTGGGTGGGAGTGAGGTGGGAAGAAGTGCGCAGCCAGCAGCGTTGGCTAAGAAGCAGATAAGACCCTGCTGTGGTCTTTTCTCTTCATTTCTCCTTCCTTCTGGCTGTTGATCTACCTCTGTGTCACTCTGTCTGTCTTGTGTCTAACAGCATGGAAACAGAACATCCAGTTCATCTATGTGCTGTCCAACTCTGTCCAGAATTTCTGAGACACAAAGCAACCTTTCTGGCAACTGTGTGGTTTGATGGAAGTGAAAATTAATAATAATTAAATTGTTCTCTATCAAGCCACAAATGAAGCTTTTCTACATGATGTGGTAGTGGTGGGATCACGGACAAGTGTGTCGCTACAGTGTGCTGCTGCTGTGATTTCCTGAAGCTGCCAGGAGGTCAGGGAGGTCAGAAAGGTGGTGACACTTTGAACTTAAAGGGAAAGTGATGGTGAGGAATCCTGTAAAAACTGTAAATATTCACACTTTAGAAGCTGGAATTTAAAATCTGTGAATTATGTTGAATCTTGTAAGAATACTTTTGTCTGCATGGTTTTCATATCCAAATTCTTTTTCTTTTTTATTTTTTGTCAGAGACCATTTTACCATTATTTTGCAAGAAAGCTTTCAGTGGTAGTGTGGAGGAAAAAATGTGAAGGAAAACATAAATGTCCTGTCTCCTCCACTGAAATGTCACGCTGTCATTACTGAGTGCAGTGGTTGACATTTTGTCATAGGTGGCCACTCACTGCCTACTTACAGCCCTTTTTTTTCTCACAAGAACTGTGTAATAACAGCTTTCACATATGCAGAGCATGCAGGGCCTTTTGGAGTTATGTTTCTGGTATTTAAGGCGCACACTTGTGCTCAGCGCTCGAGCACTGCTGGGCTGTGTTGTTTGTCCTAGGAATATACAGCGATTGTTCCTGTGTTTACTCTCGATACTCTCTGCAGATGGCCTAATGGACCTGTGGCAGTACAAGTCACACTGGCACGCAACCCAGAGGGAAGTGGCGTCGAAACAAACAATAGCACTCCTAAGAAACGCATTTTCACTACTAGGATTTCAATTTCAACAGGCTCCCAGAGTTACACACCTGGAGCAAAGAGCAGTTCAAACCATGATGAGCAGTGAGCCCAGTTGGGAATTTATTTTCCTTGTAAACGCTTAGTGAGTAGAAAACCACAATTTCAGAAGCAGAGGAAGTTACTTAGGGACAGAAGAAGACACAATAGAGTGTGTGAGAGTGTAAATTGGACTCGAGGGATGCAGATTAGAGTCTGCTGTGTCTCTATGTTACAGTCAGAGGCACCTCAGGGTCTGTTTTGCATCCACTCTTTCTGGAATTTTCTCCCTACATCCTGTCTGGCATTCCTGTGCCCGAGCCCTGTGGCCCGGCCAATGACACACACACACACGCACACATTCACAAAAGCCTCACAAAGCTCACACAGGACAAACACACTCATGTACAGCCTTGTAAGACACACACAGCATTGGTTTAGCAGTCACACTGACGTCCGCACACTGCCCGTCTGGCCTCGTCTTTGAAGCGACACAAAAGAGGGTTCGAAGAGCGACGCCCTCTCCGGAAACTGAGGAGCTTTGCTCAAGGTTGCCATGGTTACGCTGATGTTGTGTGCGCGTGTGTGTGTGTGTGTGCACAATCCATGTGGCATGTATGTATGTGTGAGGATGGAAGTAGGCGAAAGTGAGACAGTGCAGGGGAGGTGTGAAAAAATGGATGAGCAGATATGAAGGTCAAAACATGGAGCGCGGCCCGAGAAGAAAATAGGAGCCACTGTCGTCATGATGGAACAAAACACACAAAAACACATCATCTGTTCCAAAGGTCGTTGTTTCATTTACCAGGCAGTAAAATTTTCTCTCAGCTGTTGTGGAGTGCAGTGAAGTAGCAGCGGATGCTCTCTCTCAGCTCATATTGCAAATCTACATCCATCAGCTCATCCAGAGGAAGACTTGTGCAAACTAATTTACATGTGTGTCTTTTCTGTCTTACTCTAATGTTGAGTGTTTGAGATGGTTGTATAAAATCTAGTCAAAATTAAAGCTGAATGAATGAATCATTTGATTAATTGATTGACAGCAATTGTTATAAACTTGAACAATCCTTGGATTTGAACCATTTTTTTAATAATGAATTGATTATTCAAGAAAATAAAAGTCAGATTAATTAATGAATTAATGAAAAATATCATTAGTCGCAGCTTTTGGTGAAATTCCCAACAACACTTTAGGAAAAGCCAATTTTCACACTGTGTTTGTTTTAAAATGCACAGCAGAAAAACAAAAAATGGAGGAGTATTTCATTTTGCAGTTAAACCCATTGAAATGTATTTTCCAGGAGCTGCATTTGCTTAATCACACTGTTTGTGCCTCTCCAGTGATTCATTCAGAGAGTGTGAGGGTGAGAAGCGTTTGGGAGTCTTCCTCATGACTGTTGGCTGCTTACATAAGCCAATCTTTAAACACTAATTACAGGAGAGGAAGAGTGGTTGTGTCAGATGAAATTGACTGTGGTTAGATGAGATCTGGTCTTTCCAAGAGTGTGTGTGTGTGTGTGTGTGTGTGTGTGTGTGTGTGTATGAGACTCCCTTCTAGTATCTACATGGAAATCACTGGAGGCCTGAAATTAGACAGGAAGGCGACTTTATGTCGATCTCCCCATTGGTTGTCACTTCTCTCCTTTAATCTGCACATTTATACAAAACCTACTTATTAAAGAGCTCAAAGCTTCCACTGTGTTCACCACATATGGACGGCTTATTTTTTTCACTGGCTTTACATAGAAAGTGTGGTTCTTTAACTGCATGGGACGACACGTTTTCCCTAAACAAATCGTCCTCAAGCTGTTGTGTGTGAGGATTCGGTCTGTATTTGTGTACTCTCAAATGTGTGGCCCTCGGTCCAGTTAGTGTGTGTGTCGCCCTGAAGCAAACCCTGAATTTAGCCATGTGTTTTCAAAGTTACGACAGCGAAATGTCTTTTCCTCTGCAGGAATTACTCAGATATGGGTTTGGATATTTGTCCGTAGTTTATGGCACCGGGGAGGGTAACATCACACTCATGTGACATTTTTATCTGCGTTCTGTCATACCTCGTTCTGCAGGGTAGAATAACTTGAGTTTTGAGAGTTTACCTTTAACTGCTATCACATTCACTGATATCTGATGTAATGCCTTCAGGAATAGCCTGTGGATAAGACTTTCTGTTAATAGAATAGACGTCAGCGTTCGGTGACTATTTGTCATGCTATAGAGGCAGAAATTACCACACCTAACTATTTGAGCCAGGACAGTCAGGGGGTGTGTTTCTGGCTGCCTGCTGCTGTGTCTGTGGGAGTCTTGGCCTGTGTGCAGACCCCAGGACTTTTGTGCTGATTTCCTGTCATTGTTGTTTTTTTGGAAGATTCCCCCACCTCATTGTCTTGATCCACTTCTCACCCCCCTGGACTGCAGTGAGAGGCCCAGCAGCTCATTGTCAGACAGCTAACTGTAACATTAAGGCAAGATTAACTCTCTCATCTTCACTGTGTAACTGACCAAGAGCAGCAGCGGCGATGAAAACATTCATAGCATAATAAAATGTAAGAGGCATTAGCTCAATAGGATATCCTTTCAGCAACAGACACTGAATCATGGTTCTAAGTAAACAGTATCTGCAGCTGATAGTTGCTGTGTTTGCTGGTTATCATCAAAGCTATTGTGACAAAGTCAGGTATTGTTTCCGGCTGTGTTTAGGTAATGGAGTGTGTGTCATTGTGGTTGTCTGACAGGATGAGGAATACATAATGATTCATTCAGACTGGCCGCACGCTTTGCTTGACGTTTGCTCGTTCGTTTGGGCATGTGTGGCATTTATATATGTTTTGTGTGGGTGTTTGTATGTACTTGCATGTGCGTGTGAGATAGCTTGGGAGTGACCCTTCCCTTCCCTCCTCTTTGTTGATTGTTGGGCTGTGTGTTTCAGGGAAAATTGTCCGCATGACAAGACAGGGCGGAGGGTGTCCGGGGCTTCGTTGTGTTTCCACTCA